CCAACAGGCATGCCACAGACAATTTATGACCCCACTTCTGACACAATTTTGCACTGACATTTTCTAATCTCAACACACATTTGAAACTTAGGTCTTTTCAGTTGGAAAACTGTATATTGACCATGCCACCAAAGATCTGGGCTATTTGCTATGATGATAGGCAGCTTCCAGTTTCACATCCACTGCTTGTGATCCCACATTGAATACCCACGAATGATCAGATATTGCTTTGGTTTGAAAATTTGTAAATTGACAATACAGCCAAAGACCCAGATCTGTAGCTTTCAACTGGGCACACCACGGATAGTTTGTCTTCCCACTTCTGTCACCATTTAGCAGGGGCATTATGTAAACTCAATTCACATTTAAATCTCGGTCTAAATCTGTAGATTGACCCTCTCGTGAATGATGCAGTTTTATTGTTTTGGTAGCTAGCTTCCAACTTGGTCTCTCCTGTTTGTGATCCAACTTCTGACACAATTTATCACAAAACTTTAGCAACCTTATATCAGATTTTATCGCAAGTAAACTGGGTGGAGCAGGGGTACAATGACCAAGTAGCTTCCAATTTCTGACATCACATTGTCTTTGGGGAAAATCAACCTGCATTTGAACCCGGGTTTTGTGGGGGTTCATACCAACCACAAAACGAGACAATTATCAACTAATCTTGCTTCCCTTCAAGTCTGTACTTTTCTAACGTGTATTTTGCAATGTAATAAATTGAGTTCATCAGCAAACCTGCCGGCATATATTGAGTGGCGTCCGCCTCCGGCGGTACAATACTGCGTGGATCACGATTTGGAACATCAAATTCACAGATAACGTCGCAGCCGAAATCCCCGAGTAGCTGTTTGCTTTGTCATCGTACTACTGGCTCAAGGCTGAATGAAGTTGAGCTGCGTGCCAGCGCGTCCCGGCCTGGCTTACATATTCCATATTTATTTTCCCCTCGACTTTGTTTCATAAGCCGGTTAGCACGCAGCTTAGCCATCGAGCTGATATTAGAGTCTGGTGGCATTTATTAGAGCAACTTGATTAGTTTTTCTACTTTCCTTACGTATCCATCCATTCATTCATGTCATGTTTCACCTCTCACTTTTGCTTTTCTTCATCCGCCATCCGTGTCAGGCACATTTCTGTTCACAGACGGGTTTTTTTCTTCCTTCTGTCTCCCTCGCCTGTTTTATATATTTATTTAGTGTACACTTTCAGCCTTTTAGCTCCTCTGCGCTAATGCCGAGCGAGTCATAAGACGGGAGGATAAGCCTCAGTCCTGACACTGGCGAGCCGTGTTCAGCACGTTGAGCGCCGCTATGCTAATTTTATGTTTGAGTTGAGCTCGTCTGAGAGTTTCTCGATAGGCAGACATGCTAAGAATCTGATCAGAAGATAGTAGCTGGATACTGAGCCGAGTGGTCATTCGTATTATCAGAAAATATACATGCATCACACTCTTTTACTACAATAAATGCAATGCTCGTACTATGACTAGTACTACTACAGTGAAACTCCTCGACAACGAAACCTACATGGGTGAAAATACCCCCCGAGTGTGAAAAATTCTTCATGCATTAAAACCATTCCCCCTTTTCTGCCCCCCCTACAACGAAAAATCCCTCTGTTGCGTTATACGAATTTTTTTTCTCTGCCCTTGCCTCGCAATGAGATTCAGTACGAGATTTACTACAACGAAAACAAGCCTTCCGCAAAAGTGTAATCCAACCTCAGCCTACAGCGACTCCTACTGCTTAGCTCGGAAATGGCAACAGCAAACACCACAGTGGTTTACACATGCGCAGTAGTACAGGAAGTATTTATTATGGTAAATTTCAGACGCAGCACGAACGTTGCATTGCTAAAATGGCTACAAAAACGGACCTTTGCAGACCAAGGAGTGAAGAAAAGAAAAGCTTTAACGCTTGAAGACAGGATAAAAGTAATAAAAATGAAAGATGGAGGAAGCAAAGTAAAAGCATTATGCAAGAAATTGATGTAAGTGAAAGTGAATGCTGATCGTAAACTTAGCAATTTCTTTCCCTTTTTTTCTTTCTACGCTGGCTATATGAAGTGTCAAATAAGTGTATGCTCATGCACTATTGGAATGTGTGTGTGTGTGTGTG